ACCCATGGGCTTTGAGGGAAACAAGCTCATTATCACCATGGTCATCATCCACGGGGTACAGGGCGTTAAAGCTCAAAGTCTTTATTTCCTGCTCCATGGAGGTTTCCTTCCCCGGGAGTTTCAGGGGGTCCCCGAAGCAGGATTCCACCCTCCTTTCCCAGGTCAAAAGGGTTCTGGGGGTTTTGGACTCAGTTCTTACCCCAGAAATGTTTCCAACTGGCTTCCCATCTCTCTGCTCGTTCAGCTCTCTCTCCACAGGACGTCCCTGCATCTCTCTGTCTGGCTCGATGTCATATTTGCTGCTCACCAGGCAGCTCCTCTCGCTCTCTGGAATTCTCTCATCTTTGCTTCACAGTCTTTTGGCCAGAAGCCAGTCTCAGCTCCAGGTGCAGCTCACTGTTCCTTGCTGCCTTTGCTGCCGTTTTCCCCCCACACTCTGAGTGGGGAAGAAAATGCCACAGTCCATGGGGCCTCCCTGATTTTCGGGGAGGGTTCAGAGAGGGTTTCCCCTCGACCACCAGTCTCATTGAGGGGTCAGGGCTGGCTGCTGTGCCACACCTGGCCCCTGGCCAGGACCGGGGGGAAAGAGCCCCCAGTCTCCCTCTCTACCTCATGGCATCTCTCCAATTCCAGCTAAGCAAACAAGCTTCTTTTCCAGCTTGTGTAATATGTCATTTACACAGAGGCACATCAAGTTTTGATTAACTCAGCGGAGGCTTAAAAGGGAGTCAAGGTCCACAGCACAGCCCCATCATTGTGGGGACGTGGAGCTGGTGGGATCACACCATGGCCTGGGTCCCTCTCCTCCTTGTGGTGCTCGCCCACACCTCAGGTGCCATGGCCAGACTCGCTGTGCCTGGATGAGGCCTTTGGGCACAGGGGTCCCGTCCCTCTGCCCTGGGACGTCTGTGCTCCTGGGCTTTGACTGACCAATCTTCCCCTCTCTCTCCTCTCCATTTTCAGGTTCTCTGGTCCAGGCAGCGCTGACTCAGCCGTCTTCATTGTCTCACAGGGTGGGAGACACCGTCAAGATCACCTGCTCTGGCAGCAGCTACAACTGGTATGGCTGGTACCAGCAGAAGGTCCCTGGCAGTGCCCTTGTCACTGTGATCTATGCTAACAGCAACACACCCTTGAACATCCCTTCACGATTCTCCGGATCCTTGTCGGGCTCCACGGCCACATTGACCATCACTGGGGTCCAAGCTGAGGACGAGGCTGTCTATTTCTGTGGTGGCTGGGAGAGCAGCAGTAGTGCTGGTATATTCGGGACCGGGACCATGTTGACCGTCAAAGGTGAGTCGCCAATTTCTTCTCGGTCTTTCCTTCCCTGGTGCGAAATTGTGACATTTTGTCGATTTTTGGTGATTTGGGTTTCTTTTGTAGGACTTGGCACTGGGCTGGGGTCTGTCGCCCCTTTGGGGACGGGCACAAAGCGCAGTGTTTTGGGCTGGGTCTTGTCCCTGTGGACTTTGAGGACTCCGGCGTGCGCCACGAACGATTGGGGGGTATTTTCTGACATGAAAGATCTTAAAATTTGCCCAGGAAATATGTCTGAGGTCTCAGGAAAAGGAAAACTTGGGTTTAGGTCTCTAAAAGAGACAATTTTTGTCTTTATTAAAGAAATTTTTCATCCTAAAATCTAAGTCCTCAACTCTTAGTGCTGAGGACTAAGTCTATCACCACCAGTGAGAGAAAGGGGCTCCTCTGTGGGGTCCCGTGGCCGAGGGTGCAGAGGCTGTGAAAGAACAGCCATGAACAGCTCGTCCCTGGGTTCTGAAATAAAAAATTTCAGGGGTATCCCAAAGAGCCCATTGTCCAGGTGAGTCACGTCAAAATGGAGATTAATGTGTTGAAAATACTGCCGGGAATGTCATTTGTCTGTCTTTGTCTGTAATTTTGAAGAGATTGTGGTCAAAAATCCCAATTTGAACCAAATTACTGGGGGCTAAGATCAAAAGAAACCCGTTCTTTGACCATTTTTAAGTGGAAATTTTTTAATGGTGAAGTCATCCTGGTTTTTGAATAGAGAGAGGAATAGAGAGAGACAGAAATATAATGAGGTAGAGATATAGACACTGTGCGTTGGAGGAGGCAGCAGAACCACATTGGAAAGACCAAACATCTTTTCT